ATCCCTTCAGCATTATGTAACGTCCTTCTTTGACTTTTGTTATGGTCTTTGTTTTGAAGTCTACATTGTCTGATATAAGTTTTTCTACCCCAACTTTTTTTCCATTTCCATTTGCATGAAATATCTTTTTCCATCTGTTTACTTTTAGTCCATGTGTATCCTCTTTTTTTACTAAGTTGGTTCTCTTGTAGACAACATATATTTTAGTCTTGTTTTATTTTCCATTCTGCTATCCTATGTCTTTTTATTGAAATATTTAAGCCATTTACATTTAAAAGGATTATTGATAGATACATATAAATTCCCATTTTATTCTTTAAGAACTATGTTCTTCATTTCTCATAATATTGGTTTGGTGGTGATGAACTCTTTTAGCTTCTTCTTATCTGAAAAGCTCTTTCTTTCTTCTTCAATTTTAACTGATAGCCTTGCTGGAAAAAAATAGTCTTTGTTATAAAAGTTTCTTGCTTTTCATCTCTTGGAATATTTCATACCAATATTTTTTGGCTGAAAATGTTTCTGTTGAGAAATCATCTGACAGTCTTATGTAGCCATCTTTCTCTTGCTATTAAGATTCTCTCTTTGTCTTTAACCATTGCCATTTTAATTATGATGTATCTTGTTGTGGGCCTCTTTGAGTTCATCTTATTTGGGATTTTTTGTGCTTTATGAATTTGTGTGACTTTTTTCTTCACCAGATTAGGGAAGTTTTCAGTCATTATTTCTTCAAATAGGTTCTTGATCCCTGCTGTCTGTCTGCTTCTTATGGTACCCATATGATTACAATTCATTTTTCCCCAAAGGTCTCTTAAACTGTTCTCATTTTTTAAAAATTATTTTTGCTGTTTTCATTGGGTGTTTTCTGCTACCATGTCTTCCAAATAGCTGGTTCTAATCTGCTTTATCTAATCTACCGTTAATTCTTTCTAGTGTAGTATTCATTTCAGGTATTGTATTCTTCATTTCTGATTTTTTTTTTTTTATTGTTTCTATGTCCTTTGACTGCTTGATAACTCTTTATCGAAGTTTTTACTAAGTTCCTTGAGCAACCTTCTAACCATTTTTTGAACTCTATATCTAGTAAATTGTTCACCTCCATTTCAGTTAGCTCTTTTTCTGGAGATTTCCCTTACCTTCTATTTGGGGTATGTTTCTTTGTCTCCCTATTTTTACTACTTCTTTATGTTAGTTTCTATGTATTAGGTGGATTTGCTATGACTCCCAGTCTTGGTAGGGTGACCTTATGTATGACCTTGGTGTCCTGTGGTGACCCAACAATGCAGTCTCCTTAATCACCTGAGCTGGGTGCTCTAGGAATGTCCTCTGTGTCCACGCTTTCTTAACAAATGCTTAAAATGATAATGCATGCCATGGCTGGTGTTGTTCATTGTTTAGAACATTGGCCTGTGCACAAGATCACAGGTTGAATTTCTGGCCAAGGGCATGAACCTGGATTGCAGGTTCAACCCCTGGCCCTGGTCTGGGTGAGTGTGGGAAGCAATCAATCAATGTGTCTCTTTCTCTTTTTATTTCTCTCTCTCTCCCATCCCTCCCTCCCACTCTGTCTAAAAAAGCAATGGGAAAAATATCCTCAGGGGAGGATTAACAATAACAAAAAGAAAGATCATGCACACCCAGATAAGTATCAAAATACACCTTTAAGCAAAGGTCTTTAATATCTTTAGCTTTAAACACCTGCCCCTGTAGGAGCTGCCTTACAACAGCTGCATTACAGCATGAATATATTCCTGTTACACATGACCTATTTGGAAGAAAATAAAAGGCATATGAGGAAAGAATAAAAGAAAAGAAGGGAAAATAGGATGATGATGCAGAAAGACTTTTTGTGACTAGAATAAATGCCTGAAAAGAAAACTCTGAGGTACCGAGAAGATACCATTTCCCTGAGCTTTGCTAAATCTGGGCATGTGAAACCTTTAGACGATATCAGTTATACTTGGTGCATTGTGCTGACTGGACTCTATGGCAACGGACTCATCTTTTGTGTCCTGCAGATAATGTGCCAAATTGCCTATTTAAAACACTGACAAAAGAAAGTCTTCTCATGAAGAGATTCCCGATTAAGGGCTTCTTTAAGTGAGCAAACCACTTTCCAGCAAGATGTCCTGATAACCTGGGCAGGGATGACCCAGACTGACGGATTTCCAGTGCTGTTGTGAGAGATGTATCATGCGCCATGAACCACCCAAGAGGCATGATTTGCCTCATTCTGAATCTATGGCAGAGCAGATGCTGAAAATGGGGAGGGGTAAGGTGGGGGGCTTCCGCTCTTCTTCACATCCTCTCTGTTGTGTAACAGCTCCCCCTTCAGCACATGGCACCTGCCTGGGATCACTGCTGACAGGGAACCCAAAGCCTCTGACTCCCAGCTACAGCTGAATGTCATGGTTTTCACTGAGGTTTTTTTTGTTTGTTTGTTTTTTATGGTTGGCTGAAATTTGGCAAATGTTTCTTTGTTCACTACATTTACTAATAGTGATCAACATATTAAGGTTCTTTCATATTCTGTCTTCTTTGGGATGGTTTGTGTATGCATTACTCATCCGGCATCAAGGAAAAGGTGTTGAGAGATTCAGATTTATGTTTTAGAGAATAACTGCCTCCCATGGCTGTGCAGTGTATTTAGGTACGATCTGTGATGTGATGTAAATGCAGTTATCTCCCCGTTGCTGAAAAGATGTGAGGAGAGGCTTTCAGGACTTGGGAGGTTGATCTAATTGACCTTGTAGGTGCCTTCAAATCTGGAATTCTATAATTCCCTTGGAACAGTTATGTTGAATCCTGTGGTGCTAGCAGGCAGTGAGGGTGAGGTCAGCCCAGATTTGATTTTTCATCTGGAGAGAGGATAATTGTGATGCCAGAGGATAACCATTAGAAAGTAGGGATTGTGGGATTGTCCCAGTTTACAGGGCATAGGAGAGGGGTGAAAGGGCAGTCACTTGGCCAGAGCCTATAAAAAGGGGAATAGAGACTGACAGGGTAGTTAGAAAAGATCCTCAGCCCTCTTGGTTATAGACTTTGAGAGGAATTAAAGTTTTTCCTGCAGTAAGACATGCCTCCAGGTCTTTCCTGTAGCCTGAAATCCCTACCACTCTGAATAATATCTCTATTGAGCAATACCTCTAGGAGGCTGTCATCAAAAGGAACAGGGGGCTCCCTGCAATAGTAGATCATGTAAATTTGTCCATACCTGGCAATATCTTTGCACAATATTAGGCAATTCCTCCCCATCTCGGGACCCCAGTGTCCCTGGGTGCTGGTGAGGTAGAGTAGCTCTTTTATAGATTTCATGAAAATTTCTACATAAACAATCATGTCTGAATTTAAAAAAAATTTCAATTCATCCTTTCCAATCTGCTTGCCTTTTATTTCTTTTTGCTTGCCTTTTTTTTTTTTTTTCACTAGCTAGAACCTCCAGCAGAGTGTGAAATAAAAGTGATAAACATAGATACCTTGTCTTATTCCTGATCTTAGGGAAAAGCATTTAGTCTTCCACCATTAAGAATGATGGCAGCTGTAGGTGTTTCATAGGTGCCCTTTTCTGTATTGAAAAAGTTTCCTCTATTTCTAGTTTGATGAGAGTTTTATTAAGAATAGGTGTTGAATTTTATGAAATTCCTTTTCTGTATCCACTGAGATGATCATATGATTTTCTCGTAAATTGTTAAGTTGCTGCATCACCCTGACTGAATGATATAAATTTTGGACTCTATTCAGGCATGCAGTTAAACTATTTGCAGATTAGTGTAATCGTTTCAAAGCTTCTTTTAAAGCATTGTTATGATGGACCCATGGCAGCCTTGTCTCTCGTGCTTATTTAGTCCCATTACTAAGACAAGACTTTTCCAAGGACTCTACCCAGTATCCTGTCATTGTCTGAGATCTCTCTGCCTTGACTGGTGGGGAATGAGGACTTTCCCTGTGCAAGCTCTGAGAGTTCTGCAGTGATGTGCTTTCTGTCCATTCTTTCCCCACTTAGCGTCCTGCACAGATCTTTTCTCAGCCAAAGACTCCACGTTCTGAAGTTCTCCAGCTCTTTCTACACAATGACCTCCTCTCTCATATTCTATCCCACAAGTTCTAGCCACCTCTAATCCCTAAATTCTTGTTTTTGTTTCTTCACTATAGCAAAATTGCCAAGCTCTATGGACAAATAGCTTCCCGTGCTGCTGTGTGGAAACTACTCACCAGAGTGACTGTAACAGTCGTATGAACCTATTTGCTTCCTTTCTCTCAGGGGTCAGATACTGTGCTGAGAGGTCACGGCACACATCTTGACTGTTGCTGTGTGTGGCGGGGCTGCAGTTCCTGGAGTGATGGCTCCTCGGGAGGGGATGCAGATGTTTCACCCGCTGCAGTTTGTTCACACTGAAACCACCCATCTTAATGCCTGTCCTACAGCAGCTACACTTGGTTTGCTATTTTGAATAAAAAGCATTTTGCATTGGAATGCCACAGAGGGGGCCTTGGTGATAGAATTAGATCTCTCTCTGCTACTCTCTTAGCAGCATCAGCTATAACCACTATAGTGCTTAGTTCCAATTTCTAAAAATGAAAGTATGAGTAAGTGCCTAGCCTCCATTCCAATATATTGTGAGGCATCAAGCAAATAATGCAGATTAGATCTCCACTGTTATAGCACCAAGTCAGGCCCACACAGTGCTCCGTCCAGCCTGTGTGGAGGATCAGACTTCTGAGCAGGCCTCGTCTTCTTTCTACTCTTTCTGAGACTATCCCTCTTATGGTCCAGTACTCTGTTCAGCTTGTTGTTCCAATCAAATGTCTCTAAAAATATCCCATCAGAGCCACCTGCAAATACTATTCTTCAGCGATGGCCACACTGCTGTCCTAAAGTGGCTGTGTGTTGGGTATTTGGTGTTTGAAGCTGCTTCACCTTGAACGTGCACAGTATAATAGTACAATGCTGCATGTCAGGATTTCTTGTACAACAGGCTAATATATCTTTTTTTCCCCCTCAGGGCTGCCTGGAGCCACAGGAATCCCAGGGGAAAAGGGAGACCCTGGTGAACTGGGCTTGACTGGAAATGAGGGCCCGGCAGGGCAGAAGGGTGAAAAGGGAGATAAAGGGGACGTGTCCAATGACGTGCTCACTACAGGTGAGAGGCTGCGCTCGAGCCCTCTGCCAGGGGGAACAGGCCCGAGACCTGTCTGGAATTCAATGCAAGGGCTGCTCTGGGTCTTCTCTCCTCATCTGCCTCATGAGGCCATCTGTTCCCTGCTTTCAAAAAGGAGAATACTGTGCATGTTACCCCATTGATGGCAAGACCAAATCTGGGATCTTAGCAGAAGTAGGCTAAATAATTCAGGTCTAAACATCATGGCTGGATTAAATTAGGATGAATGAAACTTCTTTTTTCCAAATATCCATTAAATCCAACACAGTTCAGAAACATGTTTCAGATGCCTCAGAGAACAACTGACAGGAAGTGCAGACGTTTCCTTTGCAATAGAGATAGGGCCATCCTCAGGCCTTTGTTCTAAGCCTTGGACATAGAGAATGGGGGCAACTATGGTTGCTGGTCTTCTTTTTCCAGTTTTCAGCCCAGATTAAAAGCAGATAATTGGTGTCTATGGGGAGGTGCAGGAGATCAGGAAGCCACAGGAAGACAATCACCTGGTAGAAAAAGTAGGTGACAAAGGTCATGGAGGAGGAGGAAGCAGAAGAATTTTAAAAGCAGAGGACTTTGGAGACCATTTATAACATAAAACGTAACTATCCTATTAATGTATTCAGTAAACATCTATTGAATATCAGAGAGTAGTATTTATGAATTGGACATTTTGCAAAGAGCTGAGACTATGAATGTGAAAATGAGCAAGATATGGCATCTGTCCTCCAGAAGCTAAGATGATAGATATTCAAAATAATGACCCTAATCATTCATTTGCCCATTTATCCACTGAAAATTAACTGAACACTGCTATTTGCCAGACACTGTGCTAAGACCAAAGCATCAAGGAAAGATCAAGTTATATTTAGCATGCTTTGTTTCATAAATGGGAGGGTGCTATGCAAAACGCATACAATTTAAGAAGTGATTTCACAGGGTAATATACATGAATATACTTTTAAAATTTAAGACCATGTTACACTTCCATTATATGGGAAGTCTATACATCCAGAATACTGCATGGTCCCTATACTGCTGAACAAGTGAAGAGTGATGACACACCATGCTGAGTGCACCCCAATTCAGGAGCCCAGGCCAGAGCAGAGGGTGTCCCCTGGTCAGAGAGCAGAGGTGGTGTAGTAGGGTGGATGTTGCCTGCCCTGCCCTGGGCACAGACCCGCCTCTGGCCTCTGTGACCCCTGCTTGCCCACCCTAAAGAGACTGACTTGGAAGAGGCAGCTAAAGAGACCTTAGAATGGGACTGGCCAGGTGAGTGGAACTGAAGGGCTGAGCGGCCTGGCCTACTGGCACCTTTATGAGAGCTCCAGAACCAGCCCTTGCAGAACGCTCCACCCATATTGGCTCCCGAGGCTACAGGACTGGCTGCCTTCAGGTGTGTAGGGGCCCCAGTGACCTCAGTCATTCTCAAGAGGAAGGGACAGGAGTAAGAGATTGATTCGGAGATGAAACAGGCTCAGCAGGGTTGAGTTGCTGCTCAAGGTCACAGAGCTGGCAGGCGCACCTCATGTCTACCACACAGAGCAGTGCTGCTTGTGGCTGGCTGCATAGTAGGAAACTTTAAAAAATACAGATGAATAAAAATAGTCACAGGGATATAAAGTACAGCATAGGGAATATAGCCAATAATATTTTAATAACTGTGGATGGTGTCTGATGGGTCCTCCACTTACCAGGGTGATTACTTAGTAAGTTCCATACTTATCTAATACTCTGTTGTACTTCTGAAACTAATATGTCAACTGTAATTGAAATTTTTAAAAAATACATTTTTTAAGAAGTACAGATGACCCACCTTCCCACATTTCTGATCTAATTGGTCTAGGAGGGAGCCCAAGATTAGAATTGTATTAAAGCTCCTTGCACAATTCAGATGAACAGTCAAGTCTGGGACCCACCAACATGGCCAGCGACAAAAGGATGAGCTTTGAAGTGAGACACCCCTGGGCCTGTGTTCCAGCCTGTTCACGTGACCTCTGGCAAAGCACTGGACTCCCTGAGACTGAAGTCGTTTAGAGTCTGCTTCATGGGGTGGTTGGGTGGAGCCGTGAGGAGATTTGTAAATTCCTGTGCCTTCCCGGCTCCAGTGGGAGCTCAGCCTGGCTATGGGAGCTTCCTCAGCTCCATGCGGACAAGTGCACGGGCCCCTGCGGCAAGCCCCGGGGAGGTACTCATTCTCTTTATCTTCTGGGTGAAAACCAACTCTAATTATGGCTCCTTAACCGATCTCCCCCCACCTTCTTTCTCTCTCTCTCTCCAGGTGCCAAAGGTGACCCAGGCCCACCAGGCCCTCCTGGCCCTCCTGGGCCCCCAGGCCCTCCAGGGCCCCCGGGAAGCAGAAGATCCAAAGGCCCGCGGCAGCCAAACATGTTCAACGGCCAGTGCCCAGGTCACCAGCCTTGCCCCAGGGAACCTGCCTCTTCCACTTCCGGTCCCAACTCTGCCTTCCTCTAGGCTTTGTGCCCGGGTTTTGTAAAGAGAGGGAGGAGATCTTATCCAAGGAGTTCCCCCTTGTAACATGTTTGTGGGGGGCCTGAGCAGCTTATCCCGGGGTGGGGACTGGTGGCAAGTTTAGAATTGAGCCTCCCTCCACCTTTCCTCATCTCCCTCCCTTCGCTTGTCACTGAACTATTTCTCTTTCTGCCAAATTCACCATCACTCTCCCCAGAATAGTCTGGAAGATTAATCCCCACTGACACTACAACACTACCGCTGCCACCATCAAGCTTTGAGTGCTAAAAGTGTGCCAGGCACGGTGCCAACTGCTAAGTTCATTTCATTCTCACAGCAGTCCTAGGACATAGGAATTGTTATTGCCACCAACTTACAGACACACAACTGAAGCACTCAGTAGTAAGTGGCAGAACTTGGATTCAAACCCAGCCAGGTAGGGTTTGAATCCTGAACTTAACTGTAAGGCCCCGACTCTCAGAGCATCTTCCATCGGAGGTGGAAATTCATGCTTTAAGACTAAGCTGATCAAGGGGGAGAAGGCCAAGAGGCCTTGTTCTGTGGCCATTTTGTGACAGGTGTGGCCACAGGACTGACAGCTGCTTAAAACAAGATCCACACTAATGGAGAACACTTGTAGGGCGATGCTAGGACTTCTTCCCCAAACTGAGACCTGGGATCTGCCCACCTACTTAGCCACAGGGAGGCTCGACTTGCTGCTGTTGCCTCAGTGGCGGAAGGAGGCCCTGCCCTGAGTGTCCTCCTCACTCACTGGACTGCACAGCCGCCTTCCGGAGCAGTCTGCAGTTCTCTCTGGTGAACTGCTTTTTCTGGAGGGTGTTTGGGGCCGTGCACACTGTTATCAGAGTGAGCAAACCTGTGCTTTCAAAGATGTCACAGGTGATATCCCCCTCCCCCCATAAATGGAGCCCAATTAGGATTCTCCCTGGAAGTTTGGTTCCATCATTGGCATTCAGCACCACCCTCTCCATTAGCATCAGCCCTTTGTTCAGCTTCCCTTGGGGAGTGAGCTGAATGGGACCTTTGAACTTCATCTGAGAGGAGGGGAGGTCTGACCTGAGCCTGTGGAACTGACTTGCCAAGGCTCTGCCAGCCAGTGACAGCAGTGCCCGGTGAAGCACTCAGAGCATCCTGCTGAGAGGCAGGGCTAGGCCCCAGAGTTGTGAAGACTGAGCTGTGAGGGTTTCAGTGAGAGGCCATTGCCTCCCACACCGCCCCCTGGAGGCCCCCTAGAGCTGAGTCCTCAGCCGCCAGGCTTCCTGCGCCTGAACATGGCCCTCTCCCTGCTCCAGTTCCATTTCTCTCCCTCCCGCCTCACAGCATCGGAAGCAGGTTGGTGCTGAGGAACTAATGAGAGCTTTTTCTCCAGACGGAGAAGAGGGGGCCTCCCTGTCCCTTTCTTGTACAAAGCCCAGGCTCTTGAGGGGAACTGCCTGTGGGGGAGTCAGCACAGATCCCGGACAGGGGGACTTTATTTCGCTGGCGAGGAGCTTGGAGATCATGGAGGGCCCCGCCCCCTGGTAGCCACTAAGGAAACCGCTCCACATTGCTCTGAGCTTCCTCACTGAGCACACAGCTGCTTCTTTGAGTCTAGCAGCCGGGGATGGTGCGAGCCCATCAGGATGGCCTGGCCTTTCCCAGAAAATCCTATTTGCCCCAGCTTGCCCCAGACCGGGGCCCTTACTGCCAATCCACTTCCTCCCGTCTTCGCAGTCTCAGGTCCCTCCCCTTCTCCTGTCCTGCTTCTGCTGCCCTGAGCCACCTCTCCACCAAAGGTCTGAGTGAAGCCCATTTGATACAGGAACAGTGACAGACTGAGGGTGGATTCCAGCTCAGGTGCAGCCTCTAACCGACTGTGAATCAGGTGCCCATCAAGGACCTGTGTGTGGAGGCCTCCGAGCAGGGGCAGTGGGAGATGGTGGTGAGGGCTCAGACGGTCTGGGCCAGGCTGCCTCCTCTTCCTCTGTGATCCCTGCCCTGGGCAGTTCAGTCCCTCCTGAGGCTGCTGCCTCCCACCACTCCATCGGCCCCCTGAGACTGACAACCCTCCCAGGAAGTTGCAATCTCAGTAGGCAATCCTCCTGCCCCTGGAGGCCAGGAGAGAGTCAGCAAGCCTCTTCCCCAAGGATTGCCGAGGGCCGGACCACACCGGCTAAGGCCTCCGTTTCCCCTCTTATTGACATCTCTGGGGAGGGTTCCATCTTAGCAGCTGGGCCATGGAAAGCTTGCTGGGAACTCACCAATGAGGGGAGGGGGCGGGAATTTGGAAGTGAATGACTTGGTGGTGCTTAGCAGCAAGCAGCCAGAACACTTGCTGGGCCTGTTGTGAGGGTGCCTATGGCCCTAGAGTCCGGACTGAGGCGGGGAGGGATGCGCTCACCGTGCCGCCTGCGCTTGCCCTGATCACCGTTTATTGTTTCAGGTGAGACATGTGCTGTCCCCAATGACGACACCTTGGTGGGAAAAGCCGATGAGAAAGTCAATGAACACCATTCCCCACAAGCGGGTACAGAAACAAAGCATCCTATTTCGAAATTCAGAAATCGGATGCCTTACAGTCATAATCGAGAGGTGAGCAACGTTTCTCTCTCCTCCCTTTGGTAGAATCCATGATCGCTTCCATTGGAAACGCAACGCAAGTGCTGAAGGTCACGGAGACATTTGGGACTTGGATTCGGGAGTCTGCGAACAAGAGTGATGAGCGGGTCTGGGTGACTGAACATTTCTCAGGTACCTTCCCGTGGCAGGCGATCTGTCCCTGTGCTGTTGTGTCTTCCATCTGCTGCCCGCCGGCAGGCTGGTCCTCTGTGTCTGTCTGAAATCCCTGCTATTTGGTGTGAAACAGTGACCCTTTGTTTTAGGAAACGCCAATGAGCGGGCAGAATACTTTCCTCCTTTGAGGACACTTGCTGCTCAGGTCACAGGGACATCATGAGCAGGGCACCCCCAGCGTGGCTTTAGGGAAAGTATCCACAGGAAACCTTATAGCGTTATGACTGATGGCCTCAGAAAGCGCAATGGGGAAGAATGTCAGAGCTGAAGGCTTTTGCCCTGTCCACCTGTCTGAGGTTGGCTCCGCCCATGGCAGAGCACCCCTGGCCATCGGTCTCGGGGTCTGTCGGACAGAGCCCCCAGGAGAAGGTGAAGCGCCTCCTCCCAGGGACACTGCTCCTGCCTGTGACCCTCGTCACGCTGCCTCACAGGGGATGTGGTAAAAAATGCTGGTCGTGGTAACAGTGCCCTCATTCCAGAAGGGGTCTAGCCGCGCTCACTGGTCGGAGCAATCGCTGAGATATGCGGCTTCATTTCATTTCATCCAGGCTAACTGTCCAGCTGGTGGCTACTGCCCAGATGACCAGCCGAGAAGCATTCTGGGCTCCAAAGGAAAGAGCAATAACGTGAAAGAGCAGTAGCTGCTGTGGAGGGCAGGAGGAGGCAGGAGGGGACTGAACAACTGTTCCTGGGTTAGGCCTATGTCCATCTGATAGAAAAGTTTATATAAAGAATTGAGAGCGGGGTGGGGAGGGTGAGAGTTTTCCTGGAGCAAAGCTGACTCTGTGGAGTCAAATCAGAATGCTAAAGAGAACTGGCCTTTGAGTTTGGTCAGGTCACAGGGACATGACCAGGGCACCCTGAGTGTAGCTTATCCAATTTTAGGCAAAGTATCCAGAAGTAAACCATAGCATTGTGAGTGTGAGAGTCTGAGACTTTTCAAGCTGGACAAGGACCCTCCTTACGGGACACCTCCCTCCATTTACTTCCTCGTCCCCCCCACCCCCGCCCCCTTGTGCTAGACTCCCTCTCCAGCTGCGATTGCCAGGCCAAAGGGCCAGTAACAGCTGTCCTGGGCTTCTCTCCTGCAGGCATCAGGGTGAAGGAGTTCAAAGACCAGCCCTCCCTGCTGAATGGCAGTTACTCGCTCATCCACCTCCCGTATTATTTCCACGGCTGTGGGCATGCCGTTTACAACAACTCTCTCTACTACCACAAAGGAGGGTCCAACACCATAGTGAGGTGAGTCATGTGGGCCCGCAGCCCCTTCTCCCGCATCCCAGACAGCGCCTACTATGTGCTTTAGTTACCTGATCCCATCACTTTGTGCCCTTGGGGCCTGGCACACACTCAGAAGTCAGTCAGGACACAAGTGTGAGCCCCTGGTCCAGCCCCTGCCTGGGTCTGCATTCATTGCTGGTCCGGATCCCGAGAGTGAGGTTGGAGCCCGAGAAGAGGAGGCCGGAGTGGTCAGAGGGGCAGCTTTCTCACCCTCTGAGACAGGAAGCAGCCAGAACCCAGGGCTCCCTCTGGCAGGAAGATGCCACACCCCGAAGTGGGTCCCTGCCAGGACCAGACAGGGACCAAAAGGCATTCCAGGCGTTCGGAGGAAGCTGAGGTGGGCAGCCAGGCCTCTCAAGTCCCCTCCTCTCTGGTTCTTTCCAAACTCCAGTATTCCTTCCCTGGGATCAGGTTTGTTAGGCTCAGTGCACATCCCACACTCACAGGCGCACATTTCTTCCGCTGCTCAATGGCACCCTCTGGTGGTGTTGTTTTCCTGTAACAATGTCCCAACTTTCATTCCTGCAGGCAGGTGCCTCTGGGATCATAGATTCCCTTTATGATTCAGTCCAGATTTGGAGCTGGTCGCATCGGACAGCCTCCAGGAGCTGAGGGCGCGGGACGCTGCGCACAGCTCCCTCTGTCCAGTCACCCGCCAGCCATGACTGCTGCATCTCTTCCAGCTGGTGACCTTCTTAACTTAGCCTGCTGTGAAAATTTTTTAAAATATATTTTTATTGATTTCAGAGAGGAAGGGAGAGAGATAGAAACATCTATGATGAGAGAGAATCATTGATCAGCTGCCTCCTGAATACACTTCCCCTCCCACACCCCCATCCCACCACCGCCACTGAGTAGCAATCCTGTAACCCAGGCATGTGCCCTGACTGGGAATCCATCCGTGACCTCCTGGTTCATAGGTCGATGCCCAACCACTGAGCCACGCCAGCAGGGCAGCTGTGAAATTTTTTGCTTAAAATGTCAGCATGGGGTGGAAGAAGAACCTACCTGTGCAGGTTTCCCAGTAAAACAGCCCCAAACTTGGAGTTGGCTCTGTGAGTTACTTGTATCCTGGGCCTGTTGCTTCTCCTTTTTCACTTGCAAAACGAAAGGACTGAACTAGACCAGCTTTGGAGCCCCCGTAGCTCCAGGGATGTGTGAGAAGGCATTTCAGGAGGTCACCAGCACCAGCACTCTGAGGTGAAGGACTTTCCTGGGCTCACGCGGCTGGGAGGGGACACTCAGAGGCTGCCACCGTCCTCCACACCCCCCTGCTCACAGCGCTGGGATGGACCAGTAGGATGAGCATGACCTGGGCGCTTACTGCGAATGCAGAGGCTCAGGCCCTACTCCAGTTTCATAGGGGCTCCTGGAAAACCACCCTTGTTAGAAAAAGTGGCGACTCATATCTACTTTTTTTTACACATTTCAGATTTGAATTTGGCAAAGAAACATCCCGAACTCTGAAGCTTGAAAATGCCTTGTATTTTGATCGAAAATACCTCTTTGCCAATTCCAAGACTTACTTCAATTTAGCTGTGGATGAGAAGGGCCTTTGGATTATCTATGCTTCCAGCGTGGATGGCTCGAGCATCCTGGTGGCCCAGCTGGACGAGAGGACCTTCTCGGTGGTGCAGCACATCAACACCACGTACCCCAAGTCCAAGGCCGGCAACGCCTTCATCGCCCGGGGGATCCTCTACGTCACCGACACCAAAGACATGAGGATAACGTTTGCCTTTGATTTGTTAGCAGGGAAACAGATCAATGCAAACTTTGATTTAAGAACTACTCAGTCTGTTCTTGCCATGCTATCATACAATATGAGGGACCAGCATTTATATTCGTGGGAAGATGGCCACTTAATGCTTTATCCTGTGCGGTTTTTGTCCGCTGCATTGAACCAGTGATGCAATGCAGTCTGTTCCTCTCCATCAACGTCCAATGTCCTCAGGCACCATCTCTTTCCCAACAGAAAGCTGTCTTTAAGGGGGGCCAAGGGCTTCACTGTCATAATCGCTGTCATGACATGAGTCCTTATCTGGTTGGTGAATGCCCTTTAAATTCAGACTCTTTAGAGGAAGATAACAGATTGGAAACCAAATGGCTGAGATTTGGTGATTCCTCTACAAACAGGCTGGGCCAGTGCCCTCTCCCTTCCACAGGGAACATGAGAGAGCTGGCTAACACGATGGGTGAGATTTTCTCCACGTGGAGGGAATTCAGTGTTTCTTAGCTATTGCTGCTGTACAACTTTTATATATTTGGCTGTTGTTGTTTTTGTTTGTTTTTAGCCATGTGCTGAGCAAATTGACCTTTGAGTTGATCTGCCCAATTGCTTGAGCAATGAATTCCTTAGTGCCGACTTCTACTTGGCACCTTGAAGCTGCCCTGGCCCTTTAAGGCTGCTGAAGTAGCACATTTCCCACAGCTTATTACCTTTCTCTGCCTCTGCACCTGCACCACAGCACCAGAACGGCCAGTGTCCTCTGCTCCTGGTCACTGATCCAAGGTTAGCAAAAAGCAGCACAGCCACGTGTGCAGGTTTCCAGTAAAACAGCCACGGGCCCCTGCAGGTTCTTATCAGCTCTGATCCCGCTGGTTGGCGGCAGTGGGTCATAAACGGAATCCTCGGGTCTCGGGCTCCTTCCACAGCTGTGTCTCTACTGTCGGAGTGCTGAATATTGTGTGGCATTAACTGGCTACAACTACGGGAAGCACTCCGCAGTTTCAGAACAGAAGCACCATTTGTGGTTAACTGGAACAGGGGCAGGCAAACGATGGCCCTTGGGCCAAAGCCATCCCTTCAACTGTGTTTGTAAATAAAGTTTTATTGTAACACAGTTAGTTACATTATTATAATCATTATTATAATTGTCTGTGGCTACTTTTGCTCTATAATGACGGAGTTGGGTCACTACAAGAAAGTTGAGTAGGGGCCACAAAGCCTAAAACATAGGCCATCTGGCCCTTTGCCCTCCTTTGATTTAGAATATAAAGAGAGCCTGTTGGGGAAGGGCATATTCACCAGAGCTGTTTGTTATGTTTTGGTGTATCTCAGACCAAGAAGTGGTCATTTATATGGTTTGAGTTTTTGAAAGAGGGAAAGGGTGAGGCCAGCGTAAAACTAAGTGGCCTTCCAAAAAGCAGTAGTGAACTGTCCCTTCTCTCACATCGTCCTAAAGGATGTGCTCTGGTCCTTGTGAAAGCAGGAGAAAATCTAGTTTAACTTACTCCTAACGCCCTTGAATACGTCTATTCCTGCCAGCTTCGTTTTCCAAACATGCTACAGCCAGGCCAGGTCATTGAGAGCAGAGAGGAATCTAGACAGGGACTAGGATCCTGCAGCCAGGAAGGCACCTGAGGAAAATCTGACGTAGACATTTTCCAGCAATTTGTTCTCATCGAATACATGTGTCTGTTTGGGGGAAAACTTCTGCAGCTTTTTGATTGGGGCTAAATCCATCCTCTTTGACTGTGAGTCTGGTTTTATACCTTACTAATAGAAGCATTTTCAAACTCAGGGGGTGTACAGATTTAGATTTTAAATCTCTCCATACCTGAAAATACCCAGGCAGTTATGAGGGAATTTTTTTGTTGTGTTTTCAAAATAATGGTTTCTACAACTCTCCGCCCCCCCCCTCTCTCTCTCACACACACACACACACACACACACACACACACACACACACACTTATTAATTACATTGGTTATGTTGTGTCATCACAGCTTTTAAAAATACTCTTTTCAGATTTATGTTTGTAGAAAAGTAAGTAGAGTTTCATGTTCAAGATCAATGTGTCTAATGAATGCCAGTCTGCTTTTAAAATATTTACGTATTGGCTGTTTCTGGATGCAGGGGGCCTGGATATGAACATAATTTCATAGTAACAGCCATGTTAGTAATATTAGTAATTAATCGTATGTGTGGTAGCAACCAAAATGATTAGTTGTTAAACTAGCATATATTCCTTTTAGGAAAAAGTTTCAGAAGCCCCAGTCTTGCTTGACATCTGAGCTATCTTGGTTCCCTGAATTGTGGGTAAGGAATTATATATTCACTACCAGAGAAGGTTGTACTGAAATGTGTGTTTTGTTTTTGCTATGGCAGAGTAATATGAGGACAGCTGAGTTTGATCAAGGTCTAATGGGTAATTTTATATGGCTGAAAGTTTGTTTTTACAGAGGGAAAAGAATAAAGATTTGACTCATTCTTTTTTGCAAGCAGCCTTTGATTAAAGACAAAAAGGTGTGGGCTCACTGCTAAAATAGAACGGACAACCGAATGCTTTTAAGTCAAGATATCATTTTGGCAGTTTCCACTCTCACTCATTACCAGGTTGCTTTAAAGCACTTTCCAAATATCTGCCTTTCTGATATCAGAATCAAACCCGATAATTCTCTAGCTCCTCTTTAATCTGTAGGAGATAGCTTCCCAGGGGAAAGTAAATAAAACCGCCCGTCCCGACCTCAGAGGCTGGTTGGACCCTATTTCAAAGCATTTTCTTTCAACTGATAACGTGCCCTCCTGAAGCCACGCAGTGGCTATGGTCTCAGCGTATCGCGCAGCACAGGTGTTCTGACAGAGAAAGGGTTCTGGTGTGAACATGTTAAGATGAGGAGTTCTGATCGTAGGCATTTTGACAATCTTATTCCCCTCGAGGTCGTAAGGTGAAAAGTCAAGTGAGAGACCACAGCTCTGCAGGAGCCAGCTGCACATTCTGGCCTGTTTGATGCCAGAGCGTCCGGAGGAGAAGTGTGAGATAGGGCTTTCCCCCTTTCATCCAGCTGCTGTGACCTTGGGGATCATGTCATCCAAAGCCACGGTTTCCCATCTGTAACCACTGAACAACAAAAGAGTAACTGGGACTGTCTCTTTTTTTGTTGTAATTTATTCAACTTTAATCTACCTAGTCAATAAAATAATCACTGCTGAACACAAGCACATATTGGAACAAGTGTATTTTATTTTGACCTCTTGCTAATTTAGATGCAACATTTAAAAGAAAAAGCAACCCAAAACACTACTGTGGTGGGATTTTATTGGGTTGTTCCTCCGTCGAAACTTGTGCAGTTTACTAGCTCCTCCGAATACTGAAAACTCACTGAGGTGGCTGTTTTCTCTGTAGAAAGGCATCGTGACTAGAACTAGATACACACAGCCGCAACTGCAATGGAGATTTGCTCATTTATTGGCTTAGGCAAAGCACCTAAAGAGAGCATAACATTTGGGGCTAAGTATAAAAAGAGACAAATGTTAAAAACTGGATTTGTGTGAATTTGGACAAGTCTCTTAATCCTCAGAACGTGTTTCTTTTGAAAAATGGTGCTGGGAGTGCCCACCACATACAGCTCTCAGCTGTCTGTCTGCAGAGACCTCTTTCTTCCTCACAGCACGGCCCCTCAGCCTGTGGCTGCTCTGTGCATGAGTATAAAGGCCTGGAAGCTCAGCACAACTCAGAATGACCCTACAGGGCCCCGCAGTGCCAGAGCTCCCAGGGGCCAGCCCGTGTGTCACTGCGTCTTCCCTCCACCCGTCTGGCTTCTGTTCCTCCTCCCACAGGTGCTGAACGAAAGCCTCCTGAGTGACACCCGCTGGCTAACGTCCACCCGACATCTGCTTCCTGGGGAACCCAACCTGGTGTAGGTTTGCCCAGCTAAATTTTAATGTCAGATCAACAACAGCAACATTATGTCCCAACCATAATATTTCTGCTAAAAATTACATACTTGAAATCCACTTTTAACCATGAGACCTGTATTGATATTTTTAAACTGGGTAACCCTAACCAGGTAGAGTCCCAGAAAGAAGCCCGGGAAATGGGGTTTGTGGTTGGATCATTCACCACCCCGTTTGCAGTGAGGACCCATCGCGGGAGCAGATGGGCCACAAATAGCCCCCGGGACAAGGCAGTGGTCCCACGTTACAATGCCCACCGGTGGTCATCTGGAATGGAATATGTTAGCGCAGTGGTCGGCAAACTCAGTCAACGGAGCCAAATATCATCAGTACAACGACTGAAATTTCTTTTGAGAGACAAAATTTTTAAACTTAAACTATATAGGTAGGTACATTGTTGTTAACTTAATTAGAGTACTCATAAGCTGGCCTTTGCTAAAAACTCAAGGGGCCAAAGAGCTACAGTTTGCCTACCACTGCATTAGTGAATGTGATGTATCAAGTGATGGAGATTCATGGACTGAAAGCATAATGGAATCAGGTGGTTATTGCTAAGCCTGATTGACCCTCTGGGAAAACAGGAGAAAGCTGAGACTAATTAATTACTAGCTGAAAGCTACAAGGGCGGGGGAAGGCCCAGGGCGTCTCTCGCAGCACGCAAAGAGGTTCTCTGCTCCAGCAGCCGAGGGAGGACCAGACGCTGGACTTAAAGTTGCTCCCAGGAAGGTTAACTGTCCAGCAAAAGGCCGCTAAGCCGAGGTGAGGACCCAGACAACGTGGGGAGGCGGGGCGTGGGGGTATCAGGATTGCCTGCTTCCAAAGTGTAGTTTGTATGTTGTTTGTGGTCATTTGTTTAAGGGTGGGTTAAATCAAGCTTGTTGGCAATGTTTTTTCCTCTAAAGGCCTGATAATAAACATTTTAGCCACCGGGTTCCTGTTGCAACTACTTAACTGTTGTTGTAGCTGGAAACAATATATAAACGTGTGAGCATGGCCATATTCCGATAAAACTTTTGGACACTGAAATTTGAATTTTATAATTTTCATGGGTCACACAATGTTTTCATTTTGACTTTTTTTTAACTGTATAAAAATGTAAAAACGACTTTTAGCTTGCAGACTGTACAAAAACAGGTGGTGGGCCCAATTTGACCGACAGGCCAGTTGGCCAAGCCGTGGTGTGAGAGTGATTTGTAAGAACTGTACCTTTGGCCTTCCAGTTTGGGCCCA